AAGCTTATATACAGGGTAAAACAGATTTATTTGGGGTTTGGACCCCATTGGGAGTTGGGCATCTGGGTGTTATAGACAGGAACACTTCTTAAGTGGCTTTCAGTTAAGTCTGCAGCTTTGCGGCACGTGGTTCAGACTCTGGGTCGGTGTTGGAGCAGACTGGCGTGTCTGGCTCTACAAGACAGGGTGCTGAAGTCCCAAGCTGGCAGGGAAAGCAGGGGCAGAAGTAGTCTTGGCGCTTCAGTTGGCAGTTCCCAAGGGGGTTTCTGTGATCCAACCTGTCAGAGGGAGTGTTGTGGAGAATGATCAGACAGCATGTTGGAGGTAAGGAAACCACATTTGCCTGGGCCAAGTGGGGGTTATTAGGATGATTTGGCCTTGTTCTTTCTTTGTTTTGAGCAATGTTCTGCCTATTCGAGGAGTCAGGGGGAACACGTACAGTAGGCTGATGACCACTGAAGTTGAAAAGCATCCCTTAAGGACTGGCAACCCAATCTGCTTGTTTACTTCTGTGGTGAACAGATCTATTTGGAGGGTGCTCCATTGGGGGAATATGTGATATAATATGTTGGGATCTATTTCCCATTCGTGGTCTTGGAAGAAGTGTCTGCCGAGTGCATCCACAGTAATATTCTGGATACCTGTGAGACAGGCGACTGTGATAGTAATACAGTTTTATATGCTTCCAACTCTGACTGCCTTGGTGCAAAGGGATGGGGAACTTGCTCTCCCCTGAAGGTTAATGTAAAATGTGCATGATATATTGTCCATCATTATTTTTATGTGCTTGCCTTTGATTAGCAGTAGGAATCAGAGACAGGCACATCTGACCGCCCTGAGATTGATATGTAGCATCATCTCCTTGCTTTGGATCATGTGAGTTTCTAGATGCGCTCCCCATCCTAACAGAAAGGCATCCATTGTTATAAGACCACTGGGGAAAGTTGTGTGAATGGAACTCCTGTGCACTCATTGTGATGGTTCTTCCACCAATTGAGAGATTGTTTCACAAAGGCAGGTATGGAAAGAAGCCTATGCAGACTGTGTCTGGTGAGCAAGTAAACGGTTCTGAGCCATCCTTGGAGGCAGTGCATTCGAAGTTTGGTGTACTGTGTCATGAAGTTGGTGGCTGACATGTGATTCAGTAATTGAATGCAGTTCCTGACCATGGTTTGTGGACTGAGTTGAATCGTGTTTGCTATGTTGGCGAGGGCTACGAATCTGTGTTGAGAAAGGTAGGCTCTTGCCATCACTGAATTGTGCCCCTATGAATTTTGGGCTCTGTTCCAGGGTCAATGTTGATTTCTGTATATTCAGTTGTAGACCCAATTAGAGGAAGAGACCTTTCTTGTGGATTTTCTTTCTTGTGCTACCACTGATATAATCTTCGAAAAAACCGCTGGGACAGATGATAGGCTGAAGGGGAGCACTCAATATTGGAAGTAATCTTGGCCAATAACAAAGTGGAGGAACCATTTGTGGGATGGATGGATGGATGGATGGAATGATGGATGGATAGTGATGTGGAAATATGCATTGTTGCTAACAGTCTTTGTGCCTTCAATTTGTAATTTCGAAGTGTAACGGGGCAGACTCACCTCTCGCGAGCACTGCATGGCCGAGTGCATGTGATTGCACACTCACTTTCTCTCTTTGGTGGGTCTTTGGTGACTTAGCCCTCTGGCCAAATCATATACAGTCTGTCTACAGGGGCCACTTCCAGTGCCCTCTGTAATGCTTCTCTCAGTTTGTCCCTGCTCTGGAATACAGCAGTGCTTCAGGGCTCCTTCCCTGAAGGCAATGTGTTCGGCCTCTCAGGGCCTTTCTGGCCCCAGCTCTTCAGCTGGGCCACTGCAGTTCAGTTTCCCCTTTGGGGTGCCTCAAAGTCCAGGCCACTTCCCTCAGTGACTAATGGGGAGGTTGGGGGGACCCAGGCCCGCCCACTACTCTGGGTCCCAACCCAGGGATCCTGTAGATATAGCAGCTGTCACTGTGTCCCTTTATCTAAGTTGCACTGCTGCTCTAATTCCCTGGGCCACTTCCCCATGGCATCTTCACCCTTACTTCAGGGCCTTGTCCTGATGGAATCCCTGCAACCGGCTTAGGGATCCTTCTCGATCTCCCCAGCTTCTGGCAGAACCACCTCATCTGAGTTCCTGCAGCTTCCTCAGCCAGCCACACACCATCCAGGACTCTCGAGCTCTATCAAAAAAATGAACTTGCGCTGGCCCTGCAGCTCTTCTTATAGTAGCCTGCTGGGCCCTGATTAGCTGCTTCCCTCACAGCCTCTCTAGGCAGGTTGGAGGACCTCTCTACTGCCCTCTTCTGGGGTGGGTGTGGCAGGGCCACAAGGCCTCAAGCAGGGGGCCTCAGAGCCTAGTCCACCCCATCACACTAAGCCAACAGTGTCTTGAAGGTTGAGGGCTGAAAACCAATCCCCTTGCTCTAGTGAAGGAATTATCGCTGCAAGCATCACTATTTTGAATTTCCATACCTTCACATAGGTAGTCTCATATTTAGGATGGGTATCCAACCTCCACTCTTTTTGGTACCAGGAAGTACCTTGAATAAACTCCCTTCCCTCTGTGCTGCATGGGGACTGGTTCTAGAGCGCCCAAACATAAAACAGTGTCTATTTCTTGGCGAAGCATGCTCTTAGAGGGGTCCCTGAAGAGGGATGGAGAAGGGAGAAGTGAAGTTAAATTAAGTGTATTGAATAATCTCTGGAAACGATCTCCAAGACGCACTTGTCTAGAGTGATTAACTCCCAGGCTTGCCTAAAGCGGTGAAGGTGTTTGCCGAAGGAAGGAAGGCTGGTGAACTGGTGCAGCGGAGAGGATGAGGATTGTAGTTCACACTCTCAACAGACACATCAAAATTGCTGTTTGGAAGTGGATGGGTGTGAGGCAGAAGGCTGAGAAGTGGATAGTTTCCTTCTCTGAAACCTCTGCCTTCTTAGGTGTGGTTCATATCATAGACGCCAACTCCGTATGCGCTCTGGGGCGGGAGCATTCACAGGGAAAAAATGGTTGGTGCAGAGCACCCACTGGCGGCCCCCCATCAGCTCTCTCCCCCAGCATTTTCCGCCCGCCAGCGGAAGCCCCGCAGTCAGATCAGCGCCTCCCCCTCCCTCCCTCCCTGTGCCTCCCGCCTACCACAATTAGCTGTTTTGCAGTGTGCAGGCAGGAAGCTGGGAGGGAGGGGAGGAGCGAGGACGTGGCATGCTTGGGGGAGGGGGCGGAACTGGGCGGGAAGAGGTGGGGCAGGGGTTGACCGGGGGGAAGAGGCAGAGCTTCGGTGGGGATTGGGTGGGATCTCTGTGCTGTCTGGGACTTGCCGAGTTTTCTCTTGTATGAAGGGGGTATAAATGCCAAGAGAATGCAAAGTCACTCTGGAATCCTTCACTATTC